CGTCTTGCCATCTCACTAAGTCTTCCCTGATTGTTATGAGTGTTCCTGACTCAAAATATGTGCAATTCCCCATGTCAATCAAACTCTTTTAAACAGCAGCTGCCACTGCTGTCGCCTCATAGAGCACTTTAGAATCTCTTCCATTTCAAAACCATTCCAGCCCCAGCTTGCATCATCCCATCCATGCTAAGAGGCCCAGAGGCTGTTAGAGAACTTAATCTCGCAATAATTTAAAGAATGAAGACAGAGAGGGGCAGGGAGAGCAGAGAGGGAGGGGAGACGGGCAGCCTCCCTGGCAGGGCCCATTCAGGACAGTGGGGATTGCGTGCTCTCCCCCACACTCCACAGGCTCACACGTATCATTTCCTGGCTCAGGCTCTCCTTCTGATGCAGCTCAGCTCTGAAATCAGCGTCTGCCCCGGCCTTTCAGCCTGTGGATGGCAAATTAGGGGATGATGGTGCAGAGTAGAGTATAGGAAAGATGGGCTACGGGGCCCTGGCCCACCGCTGTGCAGGAGCAGCAGGCAGCTGGGCCTTCCCGATGCTTCCACTGGGAACACAGCTCCTTCTACTCAGCTACTCCTTGCAGTCCTAAGTGCCCGTTCTCTTGCTATCCGGGAGCAGCATTTCCTTCACATGGAACCAGATGTGAGGATCTCAGGCCTGGGCTTTGTCTGGGGTTACACAGGGTCAAGCCAGGAGCTCACCTCTGGACCGTGTTTCCAGGTGAGACCCAGAGAAATCGTGGCTGTGACCTTGTCAAGACTCCTGGAGAACCCTGGTGATGGCATGTGAGACACACATGGGAGACACGAGTGCAGAAGTGCCCCTTGGCAGACCCGATCTCCCACCTTGTCTGTGCTTCCTTCTGTTTTTCCTTTGTGCCTACAGACCCCACCATGATTTATCCTAAAAGAAGTCCCTTATTTTGTCATTGTCATATTATAAATCTACAATGGCTCATCATTTTTTTTTTTTTAAGATTTTTGCCATAGGGCGCATACACTCACTGGGGAGACAGAGAAAGACAGAGAGAAACTGAGCAGTCACCCCCAGGGGGTATGGTCATGCCACAGTCTTTTCTCCTCCAGTCTCCTCTTGAGATTTTGGGTATGAATGCACACACACTTGGCATGAGTTTCAAACCATGAGATCCAGGACTCAAACCACAGTCAGCCATATGGGAGTCCAGCACCTTAACCACTACACCACCTGCTGGTCCTGGATTGCCATTTTTGATGGAATAATGGTGGAAACGCTGCAGCCTGGCCTCCAAATGTTCCCATCGTCTTTTTTCTCTTTCCATGCCCCTTGTCCCTCAGAGTAGAATGGGACAGAACCCTGCCCCTCACACCAATTCCTTCTCCTCACTGCAGTCACCTGCACTTACCTCTGAGAATCTACCTCCTCTGTGAAGCCCTTCCAGTCTCCCACCCTGGTGTCACTCCTCCTTCCTCTGAGCTCTCACAGCACTTACCTGCCCCTCTTTTATTTCACACTGAGAATACGCATGGCCTCTCTCCGCGAGACGGAAAAACACTGCAGCATTCCCATCGGATTTCCCTCAGAAGCCCCCAGAGACGCAGATGGGTCCCGATACGCAATGTTGTGTATGAAACAGAAATAGGTACTGCTCTGAGTCATGAAGAGAGTTGCGTCTCCAAGGTGTATACACGAACACATGGGGTGCCCATGCTGTCCCTCCCCTCATGCACACCCAGCCTTTCCAGGTGCCCCAAAGCAGAATTTAGGGGTTCTCCAAAGAGGTTCTCCTGGATAGGACCTCCTCTTTCCACACCCACACAGAGCCAGCGCTCCTTGCTGGCCTGTCCTGACTGAGGTGGGCAGACGGACCTCATCGTGGGGAATGAGGAGCACCAGTGAGTTTGACCCTGGTTACAACAGATTCAAGTATTTATTTAGAATTGAACCAAATGTTGGTCCTCTAACTGCCTTTCAGACAAAAAAGGGTTATTTGTGAATGACCAGATTTTACAAAATGAGTGAAGGCACAGAGGTTTATGGAGAGGTTCCATCAAGAATATCAAGGGCAACCTGCTGTGAGATGAAAGTTTGCTTTGGATTTCAAGGCTCTCCTCCACAGGCAGCAGTAATTGTTCTTTGGCTGGGAATAACCAGGCCAGCCTCTACCCTTCTGTGACCAGAGGTCATCGCTCATGGGCGGGGCAGGGCTTCCGGGCCTCTACTGCTGTTAACTCACCGGCTAAGCCCTCACTGCCTCGCCACAGGTCTGTGTGGGCAAGTGGCCTTCTTTCTGCGTGTTTCTTCCTGTGCAGCTTTCTCCCTCTGTTAACATCTGTCCTTCTCCACACTGTCAGTCTCACCAAAGCTCTGATGGTCTGCCTTGCCACCCCAGGCTGCCAATGCCCTGCTGCCTGGGTCTTCTCTCTTCTCTCTCTCTCTCTCTCTCTCTCTCGCTCTGTCTCACTCTTTTGTTTATAACACTTTTATCCAGCTATAATATTCATACCAGAAAAATTACCTGTTTTAAGTGTGTAAGTCAATGGCTTTAAGCAAATTTGTAGAATTATGCAGAGAGTCCCCCAGTCCAGCTTTAAATTGTTCCATTGCCCCAAAAAGCAAAAAGAAAAAAATACTGTTCCTATCTCAGTCCCAGGCAACCAGTAACTTGCTTTCTGTCTCTATGGATTTGCCTATTCTAGATTTTTCAATACATAGTGTCATTTCATATGAGGTCTTTTTTATAGAGAGGTTTTTGCTATAGGGCACATGCAATAGTCAGAAAGAAAGAGAGAGACAGAGAGATAGAAAGCGAGAAATCACCCTCCAGGGGGTAGGGCCATGCCACAATCCCTTCTCCTCCATTCTCCTCTTGGAATCTTGTGCACGCACGCACACGTGCCCAGTGCCAGTTTAAGCTGGATCTGAGACTCAAACCATTGTGGACTACATGGGAGTCCAGCGACATAGCCATTATGCCAACTGCTGGTCCCTCATATGAGGCCTTTAACATATTATGTGACTTCTTCCATCATTTTTTAGTATCCCGGTCCAATATTTTTAAAACAGAGTATAGCAGCCCATTCTGTGCTAGGCCACATGTGTGTATCTGTTCACCAACTGGTGAATATGAATTTCCTCTTTTGGTGTCCTAGATCTGGACCAAAGACTGGGCACTTTACAACCCACTCAGTGTTGGTTGCAAACACTCCAGAGGTCATAGTCAAATCATTTGCTGTCTTTTTCTTACTATTTTTAACTGATACTTAATAATTATACCTATTCAGAGAGTAAATTGTGAATCTTTAATACATGAATACAATGTGTAACAATCAAATCAGAGTCATTATCATACCCATAAGCTATCATTACTTTGTCATGAGAACATTCAAAATCCTCTCTTCTGATTATTTTGATATATACATAATTTTTTAAGAATTATTTTATTTAAGTTTATTTATTTATTTTAATTTGATCAGAGAGGGTCAGAGTGAGAAAGACAGAGACAGAGACAGAGAGAGAGAGAGAGAGAGAGAGAGAGAAGGAAAGTGCAAAAGCAAACCACCAGGTCCAGGATTCAAACCGCAGTCAGCCATGTGGGAATCCAGCCCCCTTAACCACCATGCCACCTGTCAACCCAAGAAATATACATAATTATTAACTATAGTCTCCTGTGCTATAGAACATTAAAACTTATTCCTCTTATCTAACCATAATTTTGGATCCATTAACTAAGATTTCTCTGTTCCTCCCCACTCAGTCTCTAGAAACCATTATCCTACTTCTCCACTTCAAGTGGGTCGATTGGTTTTTTTTAGGTTGGTTTTGTTGGTTTTGTTTTGTTTTATTTTGTTTGGGGTTTTGTTTTTGCCATAGGGCACATGCATTCACCATAGAAAGACAGTAAGAGACAGAGAGAAAGAGAGAGTGAGAAATCACACACACACACACACACACACACACACACACACCCGGGGGGTCAGGGAGTAGCCATGCCACAGTCCCTTCTCTTCCATTCTTCTCTTAGGATTTTGGGTACACATGCATACATGCCCAGTGTGATTTTCAAGTTGCTGGTTCTGGGGCTCAAACCACAGTTAACCATGTGGGAGTCCAGTGTTTTCATCACCACATTACCTGTTGCCCTGCTCCCCCTTTTTTTTTAGATTCTACATATACAGGAAAACATGTGGTATTTATTTTCTTGTACTTGCTTATCTCACTTAGCATTATATCTTCTAGGCTTGTCCATGTTTCCTTGAATGACAAGATTTCCTTTTTATGGTTGCATAGTATTCCTTTCTGTGTATATACCACATTTTATCTATTCCTTGCTGATGGCCACTTAGCTCGAGTCTATATCCTGGCTATTGGGAATAGCACTGCAGGAAACATGAGAGTACAGATAACTCTTTGACATACTGAATTTCCTTTCTTTGAAATATATGTTTAACAGTCACTTATGCCACCACACCTGATGCTGGATAAGACCTAAGATGCTGGAGACCCTGCTGTGTGAGGGATTAGCCACTTAGTTTCCACTTAATGGATAAATCCAGGAGGGTACCAGGGAAGGAGCCAGATTGCCTGAAGCAACAAGCAAGGGGCATTCAGAGGACAGAAATTCTTCATCAGTTGATATGGAAACATCTCAATAGGTTAATAATGACTTTGGTCCCATTGGTGAGCACCAGTTGAATATATCAAACCTACTCAATTCACCCACCCTGCACACCAGAAAGCCAGAATTCTCCTCAGATTTATTAGCAAGCCCTGATCCTAAGCCCCAAACTCCAAATTGGATTGAAGGGCCAAATGTCAGCTGTTGGCATTATGGAGTAATACGTTGGGAAGAAAAGCACTCTGTGTTGGAGAAGTGAGGAAGATGTTGACTGCTCTTCTCTGCCATTGCTCTGGGACTAGGCAAGGCTGATAATCAGCACGTTTGCTGGATGCTGAATCCTAGGACTTGACCAGCCCAGGCTGTTCCTCACACACATTCCTCTTGACACATACAGGTTCTGGCTGCAGATGGTCGCATGGTGGGGACAAGGATCCAGAGCCACCGTGGCTTTTGACAATATCTCCATCAGCCTGGACTGCTACCTCACCAGTGAGTTCACCCTGTCCCAGGCTCTTATGTCCACCTCAGCCCCGATGACCCACAGCCTCACTGTCCCTCCTTAACTTAAATCCTATAATCCATTGCACCTTTCCCGTGGCAAATTCATCTCTTTCTCTGAAACTGAGCCTCACCTAATTCTCTGGGGTCTTCTCTCTTCCAGTCAGTGGGGAGGACAAGATGCTACAGAATGCGGCACCCAAGTCAAGAAATTTGTTTGAGAGAAATTCACTTAAGGAAACAAAATCCTGGGATAATATATCAAGACAGAACCCCATCTTTGACCCTACAGGTAAGGGTTTCACTCACAGACTTAAGCAAAGTAATTTCTTGTTTCAAAGGTGAAAGGAAGGTATGTACTGTGATTTGGGTGGAACGCTGAGTTTCAAGAATAAAACTGTCAACTTTTAGAAGGAATATTGCCCGCCCTGGGGCTCAGAGAGGAAGCTGTTTGGTTCTTGTGTTGCTGAGCAAAGGAAACCACTAGAAGTTGTGCAAAGGAGCAGCCTGGGGAATACCAGGCCTCTCACAAATGCAAGAACCACACTGGCATTCTTTCCTCAGGATGGTTCTTGAAACCACTCACCACTTACTGAGCAAAGCAAACCTACTGTTAGATTTATTTTTCTCATGAAGAAGGCTGGGCCCAAAGCCAAGGTCGTCCATTGCACAAAGGTGGGATACTCCATAATATTATGGTAAAGTCCCCAAAACTTCCAGCTCAACACCCTTTACCCTGAACTTAGATCCCTCAAGCTGTTCCATGCAGTATATCCCAGCGGAAAGACTCCTGCTACTGCAAACACAGGCCCTTCAGCTTACTGTAAACCAAGGGGATGACTTCCTAGCCATTCTTTCTATCAAGGGGCAGTCTCTCGGAATCTGTCTCCAAACCAGTACAACGTTCCTGGCAGTTAATGGATCAGAGATTGTGAGCTGATTTTGTGGGAGGGTTAGAAGGAGGCTGACCATGTGGCCTGAACCCAAACCCAATAAGCCCAAGGGTTCCCCAAGATGTTCCTTGCTCCCTGGACCTAGTAGGTTTCCTCTCACATGAGTAATCTGGAGAAGTTGGTTCTCTCTGCTTGGGAGAGCACACGGTCCACCCACACCCTTTTTCCTATGCAAGATCTGTCTTTATTAAAATAACAACATGGGGGACCAGTAGGTGGCATGGTGGTTAAGGCATTGGACTCCCAAACAGCTGAGTCCCAGACCCGGTGGCTTGAAAATCACTCCAGACACGTGTGCATGCATGCATGCCTAGAATCCTGAGAGGAGAATGGAGAAGAAGGGATTGCACAGTGGCCATCCCCTGGGGGGGGGGGGGGGTTTTCTCTCT